ACTTTTATAATAATAATAATAATAATAATAATAATAATACCTACAAATACACACCCACTTGCTTTTTAGTAGAGGTTTTACTGTGCTCGCAACTGCATTAGGTCATATGAGCGCCAGAAGATTAAAGGTGTTACAAGAGAGTAACAAACACAAAAAAGAAGAAGGGGAGATAAGGACACTAGACGTTTGATAGGAAAGAAGAAGCAAACCACACCGGAGCACCCGCCAACCACCCACCCACCCACTTTTATTTCACACGAAGCCCATCAAGAAAGGATAACTACCAACAGACGGGGATCCCGGTATCAATGGGTGGACCAATAAGGAACAGCAAGAGCACTTCTATTATCAATAAATGATGGGACAATTAAAATATTATGTGGGGCATGTGCTTGGATACCCAGAGACTGACTCTAGGAAGACTTTTATAGCGGCAAGACTGAGGCAAAATGGAAAATAGGCAGAGATGCCCAACTTGTCTCATTGTTAAATCAAGTGGCAGGAGAATCCATGAAATCATTGTGGTCACGAAGACCTCAACAAAAGAACATGAAGAACCTTGTCACTGTCACTGAATGTAGCGGACAACGCCACACCCACTTATTATAACAATGAACAAAACAAGAAAATCAACCAGAGGGATCGTAAAGAAGGACTGAGCACTGTCATCTCCTAACTACCTGCCTTAATGATTCCACATTACCCGAGCACATAATGTTGATACCCTTCTCCTCCTTATAACACATAAATAAACGTTGATGGCTAGCGCATTCAGTTTGCAATAACTGATACAGAAATTTTTCTTTCCGACACAAACACCAAACCTCAGTCTCCAACATGCTAACATTAGTAACACCAAGCTAAACCCTAATGCCCCACCTACCACTGAATGCAAGTCCTTTTGTCCCGTTCAGAGATCTGAACCATATTCCTATGCACACGGATAAAGCTGCAGATAGTAGATACTGCAGGACCAAATATGTATATATCCAGTTCAACAACAACCACAGACAATCATCATACAAATATCTTTATAATGTACACTAAACAGTCAATTTACCACATCAAATGGTCGCTTTTAAGGATAAGTGGGCTAACCCAGATTTCGGGGGTTTTCAGAAATCTTGACCTACAACAAAAGTGGGCATTGCCCTACCTACAGGAGAAGTTTGCTTGCATTGGTGTGTATATTTGTTTAGTTATAATAAAGAAAACTCTCCTGAATCAGGGGCAAAAACTTTACCTTCTATTTTCTCGAAACAGCTTTTTTCGGGATAGCCCCCTTGTGCTTAAAAGCGACGAAATCAGAATGGGAATTTGCACTAATCGCACTTCAGAAGATATACACAGTCTCACTGTGACATACAGGACCAGACACCGCATTAAAACGGCCATAAAGAAAAATAAATGCCATTCACTATGGTGTGATTATCTTGCTTTGACCATAATCTGCGGGAAAAAAGTGTATCATTTTCATATGTTGCTGCTTTTTTATTATTATCATGAAAGTGATGATCCTGCTCTATAAAACTTGAGGTATTCTGTTTCACGACATGGCGGAATCAGGCACTCGTCAATTTTTTGGCATGAGGAGTTATTGGTATCAACTTAAAGCTTGTTCATTAGTCTTACCTTCAATGAAAAAAATACCCATGTCTTGAATAGAAGTCAAGATATTTGCCATGGAAAGAGATCGGATCACTTGGTTTCGGAGGTTAAAATTAGAGTGAAAATGGCCAACGTTTGATGACTTCCATTGCTTGAGAGTCCTTGAAAACTGAAAATTTACATTTTTTGTGCTTTTAATCAACATTTTTGGGGGGTAAAAGCAACACAGAAATTTGTATTTAAATGGACCTAAATGGTATTCAGCCAAAAAACAAAAATTTACTTTAAAAATTGTCAAACTGGCTGAAAAATGCCAGTTTCTTCAATTTCCTTATTTTGACGAGCACCTGATTTCACCATGATGCCTCACACTTGTCATTTTTTACAATTATCTATGAAACATAATCAATGTTTCATCAATAGTTTTGAGCGATGAAGAACTCTTTATACGAAAAAGCCATTTTATTCAACTATCAAAACAATAATGTTGATATCAACCACAGAGAAATCTTGAAGTTCGTGCAAATGGAAAATACACGTAAGTACAGTCAAAAGGCTGGTTTTGTGCGAAGTGGCATCCTAGCAGAGCATTTCAATTAACCCTATCCGTACGCCCTGGGGTCATTTTGTACCCCCAGGGTTGTATTCTTCAAATTTTAGAATACTTCTAGTGCGATGATCTCTTGGAAACTTTCAGTATTTCTCAAAAAATAATTTTGACAGACTGCTATGCAAAGCGTACGGATCAGATGAACATGCAAATTTCCTCTTTGGAAAGTGGTGGCACAGAGTTCCCCACATCGTATGGATATGATAGTAAAACACGGCGTATGGATAGGGTTAAAGGCTACATCTTCAAATGTCAGGGATCAATCTCAATTGAAACTCCCATAATCCATCCTCTTTGTAAGAGTCAAGGGTGATATTCCTTGCACATAATAGATGGGAAAAGGTTATGATGCACGCTACACGTGAATTTAATGGGTAATGTTTAGTTTGGTAAGAGTTTTACAGTGCTCGCAGCTAAATAAGGCCATCTGAGCACACAGGACCCAAGTTGGTTGTTTTCACATTAGAAATTAAATGTGGAATATAATTATGGTAAAAGGAATGTATGGGAAACATGAAAGTTGCATATAAACTTGAAATGTTTAAAGCAGGAAAAGAGAAGTTTTGTTAATCATGTTATAGCAACACCCAGGATCTCTTGAACTATGGAGAGCATCTCACTAGACTCTACATGTCTTCGAAAAAGGAGCACACAGCTATCACAAAAAGACAGACAAATCATTTACCTCTATCTGCATCAAGCAACATTATTTTGTACTTTTTAAATTGTGGAATGCCAAAGTACATGGAACAAAGTTTACGAGTAATAGTAATATATAAATGCATTAAAAAGGCCATGAGTGAATCAAGAAAGAGTGGTTATTTTGAGAATTTCTGGGAAAATAAATTCATTTAACTTGAAAGTTATTTTTCTTTTAAAAAATTTGTACCCTGTGTTACAAAACCTGCGATATCTCCAAAAGCATTTCCTGAAAAAAGTTTTTTAAACAAATTAATTCAGAATTGAAAAATCTATAGTATAAAACTACGTATATTATCTTTTAACCCTGAAAACTGCCGACATATGGGCCCCCTGTGAGTTGATGACCACTTAACCTGATAGACAAACTGACTTAGTTTACAGATTGAAATGGACTCAAAGTATACTTGTGCCGGTATGTTTTGTTCAAAGTCTCAAACAAACAAAAAACAAAAAAAAAAAATCAAAATTAATGACTGGGGAAAATGCAGTGTGGGAGGAAAAGTAAGGTTATAATAACATCTTTTCAAATAAAAGACTGTACTGTTTGATTAATTATTATATTATACATGTATTGAATAAGGCCATGACAATGAAAGCTTTCTTGTGTGTCTTAGATTCTTGAACATAATATTTAACAGTGCTAAACAATCACAACAGAACAATGAAGAAAAAGAAAAATATAGTGGATTTCAAAAAATGGATTTATAGGTTGGGACCTCAGAAGGGAAATGATTTGTTATTGCCATTTCAATCAGTCCTGCCTGAGATGGCCACCTGCCTAAGACAGCGACTTTTCTCATCGACAATGGGTGGGCATCTTAGACAATTTTGACCGTATGTAAAAAGCGGACACTTTGGTGCAGAGAAAGAGTAAATTGAGTGAATGAGTGAACGCTTTGGTGCAGAGAAAGGGTAAATTGAGTGAATGAGAGAATGCTTTGGTGCAGAGAAAGAGTAAATTGAGTGAAGGAGAGAACGCTTTGGTGCAGAGAAAGAGTAAATTGAGTGAATGAGAGAATGCTTTGGTGAAGAGAAAGAGTAAATTGAGTGAATGAGAGAATGCTTTGGTGCAGAGAAAGAGTAAATTGAGTGAATGAGAGAATGCTTTGGTGTAGAGAAAGAGTAAATGGAGTGAATGAGAGAACACTTTGGTGCAGAGAAAGAGTAAATTGAGTGAATGAGAGGATGCTTTGGTGCAGAGAGGGTATATTGAGAGGACACTTTCGAGCACGCAAAGAGAGGGAGAAATAGAGAGTATATACTGAGCGGACACTTCGGTTAAGAGAAAGTGAAAGAGAGAGAGAGGGGGTGGGGGAGAGAGAGGGGGGAGGGAGAGAGAGAGAGAGAAGGGGGGGGAGAGAGAGAGAGAGAGAGAGAGAGAGAGAGAGAAAGAGAGAGAAAGAGAGAGAGAGAGAGAGAGAGAGAGAGAAAGAGAGAGAGAGAGAAAGAAAGAGAGGGAGAGAGAGAGAGAGAAAGTATATTGAAAGAATGCTTTGGTGCCCAGAGAGAATGAGAGAGAGAGTATTATACAAAAGGGACACTTTGGCGCTGAGAGAGAGAAAGAAAGAATATCATATTGAGAGGACACTTTTTAAAATTTTATAGTAGAGGGTTTTACGGCACTCGCAACTGCATAAGGTCATATGAGCGCCAAGGGGTGGGTGTTAACAGAGAAGTCTTTACAGGGAATCAAACTTAGACTGCTCACCTCTCTAGCTTCAACAACTCAAGGTCTTCTTCGACTATCAAGGCACCCCAAAATAGCAGGTCACAAGAGAGTGACAAACATACAAAAGAAGTAGAGGAAAATGACAATAGTAAGGATCAAGAAAGAAAAAGCAGCAGTTCCCTGTTGTAGATCAGGCACAGTTATGAGCGTGACATGAGTCAGCCCATTTACAATTCTACTATACTTGAACGAGAAATGTCCCCCCTTTGGGAATGGCCAAAAGACACTTCAGTCAAGAGGACACTTTGGTGTAGCGATAGGATGGGTTGGTTTGCTGGGGGTGGGGGGTGGGGGGGGGGGGGTTAAAAGGACAAAACAGTGACTAAAAGACATGTTTTGTCTGCCTAAACATTTTTTTTTTTTAAGACAGAAAGAAAAAATAATCCATCAATCATATTAAATAAGGGATAAGTAAGTATACAAGACACCAGCTGAAATTTGCCATACATATATGTCAGTAACGAGCAGAGCCAGTCCCAATCATCTCTGTCACAATTCCTTCCCTGAGTCAAAACAAATGCACGAATGAGACTAGTATCCAGTTCCCCTAAAGAACATCTACAAATCAGAGACATATCCAGTACCGTCATTCAAACAGACAAAAGGGTAGCTGACAACTTGACAAATCTAATACACTTTTGTGTAACACAAAAGAAATTGCACAAAGTACATGCATACTGTAAACATGCTCAAATCAAAAACATGTACAGGAATGTCTCGAAAAAGCCAGAGTACAGTTTCAAAGTTTTAACCCTCCAAGCGTCGTCCGCCGTTTTTATTTAGCCGTAGATTTATCGCAGCCTTGTCATGACCGATATAACTGGCTTTAACTTAGCCACTATATCGGACTCATTGCTCCACTTTGTGAATCACTAAACCAGTGTGTTTCAACTCAGAAAAGGTTTGCTTCCTCTTCGGCAATAGAATAAGAAAGGAGTATATCAAAGTTTGCGCAGGCCAAAAACAATGGAGTCTGTTGGGTTTTGAAAAAAAAATATTCTCAACAACTGTCATCGTTTCAGACAGCTGGGCCGTCAGTTATGAATTAACAAAATGTCTAACTTATTTTTAATGTTCTTTCCACTAAAGAAAGTCATACAGAAGACTGTGGCAATAGAAATGGGGCGTACGACCCACGTGTGTGTGATGCTAGACCCAGACCACCACTTTCAACTTTAAGTGAAACATCCAAAGAAGAACTTAATCTCAACCTATAACTAAGGAAAATTTGGTACTGCATCCTTTTTCATAGCCAGGAAAGTTTGAAAAGCATTCGGGAAAAAGTGTTCACAACTATTGTTTCATTTAATTTTTTTTTTTCATTTTAAAAAAGATTCAGCAGTCTGGACGCAACTTAAAATGTCTTTTGTTTCATGATTTCACCACAATGCCTCACAAATAATTTACCATTTTCTTTTTATAGCTCTTTCAAAAGCACACTTTCACCTCCTCAAAAAAATGTAAACAGAAATGTAAGTCACTGTCAAAGTCAGCTTAAAAGTGAACATTTTTTAAAAATTTACATGGTCTCGTCATACCATCGAGTTTTCAGAAAGTGTATGGTTACTGGACATCTAGGATTGATTTCAAATTGTTTTCAGTGATATTGTGACCAGTAGAGAAAATACACCCAAATTCCCTGACACAACAGAATTTCACCTCTGACAGTTGGAGGGTTAAAAAATGTAATAAATACTGTGTATACTTTCAGTAATTGCCTGTAACATTTGACTTTGGTTGTCACAGCGAACTCTCAGGGGAGACTACAAAGTAAATGACAGTCTAGCACACGCATAACGAAATCAGCCTGACAAAGAAATCTTTTCGTTATCATATACGAATTTTGCTATGTCCGTCGCGTTTTGAACACAAAGAACGTACAACTACAAGTAAGAAAAAATTTGGAACGTGAATCCGTTCACTATGTACGTTTCCTGCTGTCTGTGTGTTGTGCTATATTTGCATACTAGACTGTATCTTGAAATTTACAACAAGCAATCTTCCCAGAAACTCTCAATTGAGAGAGTTTCCATCCCGTAAATACTGAGTCCTTCTGCTACCAGGCAACAGTGGATCCTCTTCATTGTCCGAGGAAGGAAGAGATGGCTCTTCCCTTTCTGATGCCTCTGCGGCCAGTAACCGCTTCTGCTTGCGACTCAAGTTCAGTGTACCTCCCTAAAAGAAAGGCAAAAAAAAAAGAAAAATGACTGCATCATGAATAGATTGGTTTAGTTTTAGTTTTAGTAAGAGTTTTACGGCACTTGCAACACACATAGGTCATATTGGTCATATTTAGTGAAGAAGATTAGAGGTGTTACTGGAGAGTAACACACAAATAAAAAAGGAGGAGAGATAAGGAAGATGTATTATGTATGTTTGATAGGAAAAAAAGAAACAAACTACACCAGAGCACCTGCCAACCACCCACCCCACACATCTTGGATCAGCCGGGATGAGCTGGGTAAACAGACTGAGAGGGAAGCAGGGAAAGACACAGAGTGACATACTTTCAGAGAGTATGAACTCAAAGAAAAAACCAGAAACAAAAAACTGTGATACCCTTTCTTCCTCTTCATCTCTGTCGCATCGCATCGTGTTTGAAGACCATAACACTTTTATATACTGGGCCATCCTGTCAGGTTCCTGTTTTGGCCATAAAGCCTCTCCTGTAGTGACAATGGGGTTGGCCCTGCTTCATATTATATATCCTTCATGTGACTATCCAAACCAGGATGAGAGAATTGTTCAGTCATAGTTACAAAGAGTAAATCTATTGTTTTAGTAGAAGTTTTACGGCGCTCGCAGCTGCATAAGGTCATATGAGCGCCAAAAAAAAAGATTAGAGGTGTTACAAGAGAGTAACAAACATAAAAAAGGAGGAGAGATAAGGACGATAGATTTTTTTATAGGAAAGAAGAAGCAAACCACACCAGAACATCCACCAACCACCCACAGAGTTATCTCTATTATCTTCACATACCTAGAATTAGGACAAGAAGTAAAAAGAGGAGACCACAACAAAGCCCACACCAACCACCTGCATTAAAAAATGCCATTTTTTTTTTAGCAAAAAATTCTAGACTACAAGAGTTCTAAAGCAAAATTGGGAAACATTTACCCCCCATCCCCCACCCTCCCCTAAATCTACACATTTTAGATCGCTTAGCAGGCTGGCTGTTCGACCTGCCAACCCAACTGAGAGGGAGGATATGACACCTCAGCATGACAGATGGAAATATTCAGTAAAAAGAAACATTCCTACACTGAAATTGAACTCACGTCATCTGCAGGCAAAGATGAATCGCATAACAGCGACACCACAGACACCAGTACCAGAGTTCCTTTAGTTTTAGTAAGAGTTTTACAGCACTTGCAACACAATAAGGTCACATAAGTGCCGAAGAATAGATGTGTTACAAGAGAGTAACGTACACAAAAAAGAAAGGAAGGATGACAGATGTTTGATAGGAAAGAAACTAGGGAACTACACTATAGCACCTGACAACCACGCACCCAGAGTTCTATAAATGTCCAGGCAAGCATAATTCCACAAAACAGCACATTTTTTAGCGTAAAAGTTTTACAGCACTTACAACAAAATTAAGTCAAATAGGTGCAGAAGATTAGAGGTGTTACTAAAGAGTAACATACAAAGAAAACAAGCGCGGAGGAGAGATAAGGAAGACAGATGTTTTGATTCAAAGAAAAAGAGGAGAGATAAAGGGGATAGAATAGAAGTTTGATTGGAAAGAAGGCGCAAACCCCCACAAGAGCACCCACCAACCCCCC